CAAATGACACCATCTTAAAGTTCAACATTTAATTAACACAAGGTACATATACAATTACAAAATTTTCACTTAAATTCCCAAATTTTCCATATTTGTGATTTGGTCCTCAAACTTTACCAATTTTCCAAAATAGTCCAATTTCACATTCTAACATCAAATTTAACATTATAATTCTAAATTACAACATAGTACAACAACTATTGCACAATTGCACATCAACCCCATAATTTTTCATAAATTATGAATAGGTCCCTAAACTTGTGCAAGTTTAGAAATTAGTCCAAACAACATTCTAAAGCTTGTAAAACCTTCCAAATATCATTTCTAAGCTTAGGGAAAATTTTCATAATTTTTTCTTCATTGGGCTGAATATGTAGGGTTAGGGATTTCATGATTTCCAACTTGATTCAAGCATGAATTCCATCTCTAAACAACATTTCAAAGCTTCTACAATCAAATCCCTAACACAATTTATCCAAATCACAACTTTATCAAAACCATATGTTAAGGTCAAATCAATCAGGGCTTGATTTCAAGTGTTTTAATCATCATACAAGCTTGTAAACAACTCTACAACATCAACAACATCAAAATCTATCATCAATTCATAAAATCCTAACATCCCCTTCATCCACCATATTAATGAACTTGTTATTTCAAGAACGTTTAAATGTATAATTGGCACCAAATGATAGAGCATTTCGAATAGATCAATTTTCTATTTCACGCATTAATCCAAACACTAAGGAATTTGCTTGAAAATGAAAAATAAATTTTTCCTCCATACCTTGTGAAGCTCATGTCCATGGCTAATTTTTAAGAATAATTGTCATGAAATTTCTAGTTAATTTCATGTGCATTTTCCCTTTATTAAGCTTAAATGAATTAAAATTATATTTAATGGGAAATGAAAATTTTACCCTTAGTGAAACTTGATAATTACAAAATTACCTTGTCACATATTAATTATCATCATCCAAATTCAAATATGAACAAATTAATTTACCCTTTACAACCTTACCCATGCCTTTTCCCAAAAATTCCAGTCTTATCATTTTCATTTAATGGTCCATAATTAATATGAAAATTAATTCTCAAATCCAATGCTCTATATTATTTTTACCAGACTTTAACACTTTATAACTTTTAACACAAATTCCGGATAAAAAATATGATTCCCAAAAAAACTTAATTCACAGGGGTGAAATATTCATTTACGGAGCCAAAATGCATAACTTTTAAAAATTACACTTTGGTCTCTGAACTTTTCTAAACATTATACTTTGGACACTTTACTTTCAAAATTTATGTTTTGATCACTAACCAAAATTTGAGGTATTACAAACAGCTTGATAACCCTTAAGTAATGTCTCGAGTTCGAGTCATTGTGTATGTAGAAAATCTCTGCTAGGAGACTCACCCACCAATCAAGTGTGAGACGCGGATCGACCGAATTAGTCAAAGCAAAACCTTAGAACTGGAAGGGTAACAAAGAAAATAATAATAACTAATGCACTAATTAATTAAACTGATAATACAATATATAAATATGAAACATCAAAAAAATAGTTTAGTGGTTGGAATCTCTTTTGATTAATGACATTCACTAACTCATGTACGACTATCGCCTAATTACGTAATAATACTAATTTCATTGATAATTACACCTAATTTTCAGTCCTCTCTACATAAGAATTAAAGAATCTATAATTATTTTTTGGCTTATTTATAAATAAATATCCAAACTGTACCATTTTTCTCAAATAGGTACTTAAACTTATTCTTTTTTGAATAATCTAGGTGCCAAACGTCAACACTTTAGATGCTCTAGTAGTAAACACCGTTAAAATATGCTGTTAAGTGATATGTGTCATATTCAGGTAATTTTAAAAATTTTATTTAAAATTTAGGTTTTTTTATAAATATAATATTTTTTATTTTTAAAAAAAATCAAATTTATTAGAATGTGACACGTGTCACTTAACGAAGAAAATTAACGACAGTTATAGTCCGGGCAACTAAAGTGATAACGTTTATAATGTTAGTAGCAGTGAGCAAAACTCGATTCGACTCGAAAAATGATTTTTTCTATTTTACTCGACTCGAGAAAACTTATAATTTCATAAACTCGACTCGACTTGAAAAAAATTCAAGTTCAATATGAGTTGTAAAATACAACTCAAATAGTAACTCGAATAACTCGAAATTTTTAGTGATCAATGGATTAATTTTCAAGTTTGAGTAGAGTCATTGACTCTGTATCATAAATATATATCACATATTCTTTCAAAAATTAAATGTATATCACATATGAAGAAAATATGAAGAAATACACATGTATTGTATGGTTATAAAAAATTACTTAAATTGGAATAAAATAATATCATAATATTATAAATATTTATAATTAAGTTTAAACAGAAACTCAAAAATTTGATTCGACTTGACTCGAATTTTATAAACTCGACTCAATTTAAAAAAATTTCAAGTCATCTTTGAGTTATAAAACAAGACTTTTCAATTTAAATAACTCAATTTTTTAATTTGACTCAATTCGAATGGATCGAATGCTCACCTCTAAACGTTAGACACCTGTATCATTATTAAAAAAAGGTTTGAGAGTTAAGATTGCGTTTAGGATCCAAGCCAAGATGACGAAGAAGGCCTAAGTATGGTGTTCGTCCCCTATTGGTCCGAGCCCAATCGAATCTTCAGCACCCGAAAGCAAATCGTTTCCCAGTTAGGTTTTGGTACAAAAATATTCATTTTTCTCTTGGTGATTTGCTGGCGTTTTTGAAATATGGCAGGGAGAGAAGTTCGTGAGTACACCAATCTGAGCGACCCAAAAGGCAAGTATGGAAATCGAAACTTGAATTGAGGTTTACTTATTTATTTACTTCTTCTTCTTCATCTTCTTTTTTACTTGATAAAATGATTAATTGCAGATAAAAAGTGGGGGAAAGGAAAGGACAAACTTGACGATGAATATATTGCTTTCCAGCGTATGGTTGCCAAGGTTAGAGCGTCGCCTCTCCCATGTTTTTTCTTTCATTCTCTTCCATCCTTAATTTGATTTATGGGAACGTTGTTATTTGGACCTGAATTTGATTCGTTCTCTTATTACTGTTTCTTTTGGATATCGTTTGTTTTAATGGAATTTGCTCTTTGTGGATATCGCCGTTCTCTGCTTTTCAATCAATCTGCCCTTTTGTTGTCAATGGGAACGCATTCGCTTATGGAGTTCTCTCTATTTAATATGTTGCAGCATTCATCTGAGAGAAAAAACCATTATCAATTCACCGTTTCATTGCTTTGCTCTTATACTCCACCCTCTAGTGCATGTATAATCAAAAGATTATGAGACTCCATTTGTTTTGCCGAAAATGGCTTCCAGAAATAGTTGATCTCAGTTTCTCGTTGTTATGGAAGAAAATTAATTGGACAACCTAATATATTGGGAAATCATCGTCTTTTTAATCCGCAAATGCTTCTAAAAGGAGAGAAAACTACCCAATCTCTTGGTGTCATCAAAGACCCATGGCAGGCACCCTGACAGACGCCATCCGAAGCCTTCCCTCAATACCTATGTTTTTAGCTACCGACAACACCCTTCTCCTTTTTCTCATACTCCTTTTCTCTGCCTATGATTTTCCTTCCTTTTCCATGTTTTCTGCTTCCCTCTTTGCTCTCCTCCATTACCCTCTTTCATTCATCTTCCGTAAAACACTACATCTGTTGTTGCAGTGTTTTGTGCTTGTGAAGCTCAATATGTAGAAATCCAACTTTGCACGCATCGGCCACTGTCAACTATATTTATTTTCATTTTCAATGATTGCTACTCCATTTCTCATTTGTTTGGACGTTTTCCCCTCTTTTGTGGTTAGCAACTGATTTTGTGATCTTTTATTAAGTTCTGATTCATTTGTTCAAAAATTTTATCCCAACTTGGATTTGGCGATGATGCAAATTTATTGATGATAAAAAAGCATGGTTCAGGTAGCTTTAGCAGATTTATATATAAATTTGAGTACTTGATCTGATGGTAGTTTGCTGTGTTTTGTTGTAGAGGATTATTAATATTAGGGTGCAGGTTATGGATAGAGAGGTTTGAAAATAGCATCAGCAGGATATTTTCAATAGTTTCATCCAGATAATAAAATTCTTCAAACTGTTAGAGAAAAAATGTTTTTTCCCGTTAAGCATGTGAAACGAGCATCGCCTTAAAATGGACAACTTTGCTAGGTCTTACCACTTGTGGCTCTATTTAATGGCAATTCCATCCAATCACTTCAATTATCTCAAACTTCTTCTGCTGATATGCTAATTGTATCACTTAAAATTCAAGGTTCAATTAGGAAATCAATTTAAGGTACTAGAGTGTTCTAACAAGTTGTTTCATATATTATTTTGATTAATAGAGTTGTACCATTCCACACTATATCTTATGTGATCTGAACTTTTGTGAGTATTGAATATGACTATGCATCTAATAAGGGTATTTAAATTTTTCCCTAGTTCTCCCATATATTATAGGGCCTGAATCTGCATGCTCATGGCTGTTGACTATGTGATGCTATTACTTCAAAGGAAATGAAGAGTTCGTAACATGTATCATATTAACAGTGCTAGGACTACTAGTAGAAGGAATGACTCTGTTTGCGATAATTTTAATAAGAAATCTGGCTGGCACTAATTTCTTGCTATAAATACGAAAGTTGTGGTAGTTTTCTGATAACATGCCCTGGCAGGGAACTTGGCTTCTCCCATTGGGCTTTTGATACAATCAGATGCAATAGGTTGCTGGAGAACGAGGAGGCTACCTACACGGGCGAGGCGGTAGCTTTCCTTTATCTGTCCCTACATCTTTAGACTTTTTCTTTAGGTAAATCTACATATTATTATGTATTATGTCTGCAGCTTTGGACAGTGATGATTTGCTCTATCTCAAGGAGCAGATGGAAGCAGAGGAGGATGCTGAACGCCTCCTGCGCCGTACTGAGAAACGGGCATTTGCAGCATTTAAGATATCCTTAAATGTTCAGCCTTGGTTTAAAAAAGCGCGCATCAGGCGCGCTTGATGCGTGATGCGGCCGTTGCGATGGTCAAAACGCATCTGGCAGCCTGATGCGATAGGGGGTATATAATGCGGTCTGATGCGATCCGATGCGGTTGATGCGGGCCGATGCGTTTAGTAAAAGTTTTTTTGGGCGTTTAGTAAAATCTTGGCCGCCACAGTCCCGGTCAAGGTTAACCCTGACAAGAAAAGCAACGTTGCACTGAGTGTGGTCGCCGTTAAAAACTTGGCCGCCTACCGAGATGATGGAGCTGACTCGTACAACTTCTGAGTCATGGGTTTCTTTTGATCATTCGACAGGATGAAAAGCCCTGATCGTACAATGAAAGAGATCAACAAAAGAAGGGCAAAACGGAGTGTAAGATGATGAAAGAGGGATGTTGAGGTGAAAAAGAGAGCTGTGAGGGTGGCGTTATAAGGAGGGAGGTGAAGTGCATATTTAATACACCTTTATCATACGCGTGTACCGGATTATCTAGAAAGGTGTAATGTTGTAATTGAGTCTGGAGTATTGTGCGCGTGTTTGGTTGAGCAGCTTTGCATGGATGTTAGTTGATGAGGATGTGATGCGTGCCTCAGACTCTTGGGCGGGCTTAGTAACGGATCTTTTTCTGTTCGATAATGGGCATGCGTTTCGATGCACTACTCGGTTGAATTAGTTCTTCGCATTAATTCAACCATATGGATTCACACTATAGTTCAAATTAAATTTTTAGTTATTTTAAGATGAAGAAGATTTGGTGTTTCTTGATGATGATCTTACATGGGATGCGGTGGGTAGAGTTTCCGGGGCTAATGAGTAAAGTCATTTCACTAGAGGATCAAGAAGAGGAGGTGATGATGGGATCAGCCCATCAAGAAATGATAAAGGAAAAATACTCGCTCTTGTTGATGAAGATGAGATGGAGGAAGACATTGGAGTGACTGATGATGATGAGGGAGATGGAGACGTGCTCGGGTTTGATGATGGGGATCTTGGAGACATTTAGTTTGTGACTAGAGAAAGTTTGGAGAACTTAGTGGGAGGAAGGGAAGTGGGGGCTATTGTTGATTTGTCTTTTGGTTGTTTTGATTTTCCTACGCGTATTTGTCTATTTTGTTATTCAACATTTATGAAGTACTATTAAACTACTTTTGGTATTAATTGAAGTATTTTTGATATATAAGTATTTACAAGGTATAAAATTAGTTCAAAAGTATTTTTTTGTGAAAATTGGCGCATCGGGTTCGTGATGCGAGCGCATCACGCATTACGCATCGGCTTCGGAGAACTAAACGCATCAGAGCGCATCCCGCATTTTAAAACCAAGTGTTCAGCTAACTAAGCAATACCTGAGATATGATAGTTTGAATACTTTTTGTGATTCTTGCTCTGTATGGCATGTAGATTTTGAGCTTTTATGTTTTACATTTTTGCAAACATTCTTTGAATCACTTCTATTATGTGCTGAAATATGTAGATTCATCCTTGCAACTTCTATTTGCGAAGAGCTCAGGATTGTAAAAGAAAAAAAGTTTTTTTGTTTGTTATGACGCTCCTCACATCTTAGTCTTTGCCTATTTTACTCAAGTGAAGTGCTATCGTTACTGAATTTCTCATTTCTATGTTGCAAGTCCTAGAATTCTAGCATTTGTTCTCACTTTGTTTTCTCAGTTGCATTAGATTACACGATGAGTTTTTCCATATCACGCTGAGTCGGTCTTGAATGCTGTATAGTTCTACCGTTGAGCTCTATTGTTAGCACCCTGAAGTCTTCCCCTTATTTGGCATTTGTTTCATATCAGTTCTCACTTTTTCTTAACAATTTGACACAAAGCTGCTGTTTTAGCTGATTCCACACCTGCATCCTTTCCTTTGCCTCTTCGAGTTGAGCCGAAGCCAAAGAGCGATATCAGGTCTTTCTCTCCCTCTCCTCTCTTCCCATAAACCCGCGAGATCACTTCCTGCTACATGTGCACTTGTAAAATATGTATGGTTACAATTTTGGAACTGTTCTATCATATTGTTCTAGTTACCACTTTCAGTTGTCTTCTTTATCATGTAGGCAGCAAGATTTGCTGAAAAAAGTCGTGGAAGTTAAACCGAAGCGCGCCAAATTTTCAAGCCCCTCCAACTCTGAGCCTGAGGCGAATCGATCCAATTTACGGTCCCATGAGCAGGAGTTCAACCATGAGAAGAATGAGCAGAATCGATCCAATTTACGATCCCAGGAACAGGAGTTCAACCATAGGAAGAATGAGCAGCATTGTGTTTCGGAATCAAACATGGAAGGAAAGCAGGATAAAGTGGAAAATCCTGCCAAATCCTTACTAGGCTTAGCCTATGCAAGTTCTGATGATGATGATGAAGATGATGATTGATGGAAGACCAATGCTTTGCATGCATGCATTTCAGTTGTAATCTACATGAACATGATGCCTGTCGTTTTTGTTTCATCTTTTTGGAATGTTTAATTTCATCATATTTGACCTTTGGTATTTCAACAAATTTTTCAGTACGTTCTCTGTGTGGAACATTTAGTCTATACCTTCTTACTCTTTTACTGGGTTAAATTAAATAAAATTTGATCGTGTCATATCTAAAATAAGTGGTATGAATGTGAAAATTTTAACTTAGAGAACTCTAATGTTGATTAGACCATTGACTTGGCTTTAATTTTACTAAAAGTATAATTTCAAGTGAGCATTGTGGTAAATGGCATGTAGGAGAATGTTTGTCTCAAGTGTGGGTCTTAATGAAGCGATGATGATTGGACACCAAGGAATGGTAACCTAATTTAAGGTTAAAAGACAGTGGAAATAAAAGCAACTAAAAGTGATATCCTTTTTATAATAGTATAGGTTGGACGCAACTTAAAATGTTAATTTTTTTTAATATTTTTTGGTTGAATAAAAATATTATCTTCTTCATCACATTTTCGGTTACGACTATTTCTTTTGGTTTTTTAACCTTGTCATATTGCAGAACTTCCCCAACCATAACATCTAACCTAAGTTCATATCTTAAATTTGTGAATTTCATGATGAAAGTATCTAGGGACGAACACAATATGTTATGTAGGGGAATAAATTTATAAAAATTTTGAAGGAGACGAATTTATAAAATTTCAGGAGGACAATTGTCGTCACTTGTTATCCATATTGCTCCGACTAATGTTTGGAAAGTGACTTAAAAATTTGAGGAATTTGATTTTGTAGAATCAACTCTTATTTTCAATTTTTTCTCTTGTTTTCTTAAGACTACTTGTTAGAAGTTAAATTTTATTGTTATTTTTAATTGTCTTCGAATACTATTAAATTTTAAGATTTGTATCAATTTTAATATTAAACTTTAAAACACTTCAATTATAGCATTGAACTTTGGTTTTGAGTTATATATAAGTATTGTGTCACTAAATCTTTAAAGGTGTGATGGTGTTCTATTTTTATCCCCCTTTAACTTTAGTTTGTGTATTGATTTTGATATTGGACTTTAGTTTACGAACCATTTTGGTCCCTAAAGACAATCATCAGCTACAACAAATGTCGTTGACAACCAATCACCACCCATAATTAATCTTCATTCGTGGCAATATCGGCACCAAAATATTCACATTCTAGTCTTATTTCTTCTCGTTAGATTGATTTCTGCTAAACTTACTTAAAATCAACAAAAATCTATCTAAAGATCTGACATTCTAATACTTCAATCTCCTCTAACAATCATTCAATAAGGTTAATTTTGAGGTATGTTGTCCGCATTCTTGAAGAAATGCTTCTCATTGTTTAAATGTTCAAACATGCATTGCAAATCCCTTAAATCCAATAAAGTCCTCAAATCGTCACAAAATGATGAGTCTTTTAATTTAATTTCGTGAATTTTAAAGAGGTTTTGAGTCAAGCTAAATCGAAAAAGTATTAGAGGACAAAGAGGCGAATTAATCAGTGTCTAGGGTGAATACAAAAGATACAAGAGAATGTCAGTTTCTGATGGAGACTAAAAATGGATGGAAAAAACACCAACTTTGATGAAGACGATGACGATGACGAGATAAAATAAAATAAAATATTTTTTAACTTCCACATTAACACCAAACTGTCAAATCATTGGTTGTTAATGGATTTAATAATCCAATGTTATTAATAGAAGTATAAATTAAAGTTTAGTGCTACAATAGAATCAATTTAAAGTTTGATAGTAAAAACGATATTAAATTCAATTGTGTTTTGGTGTAGATTACCCAAAATTTAGTTATAGTGAAACTTTTTGCTTAACTCTTAAGTCCACAATTACCACACATTTAATTTCAAGAAGCATCATAAATATATAGACACGCATATATATATATATATATATTTAATTAATTTGGGGTGCTTTATAAATAATAGTATATGTTCTAAAGAGTCTCAATCATTTGATAATGAATGCTTAAATACCCTGTAATTTCCGGTGCTTGAACCTGAGATATTTAAAAAGAACAACCATTCATCTAACTACCGAAATAGTTTGGTTCGTACATTAACACACACGTGTATATAGGGATGAGCATGAGATCCGAACCCGACCTAATCGGGTCAGATTTTTTAAAAAAAATTGGGTTTGGGTCGGGTTTTTTAAGGTTATGTTCGGGTCGAGTCAAGTTCAGGTTTAGGGTGAAAAATACTCGACCCAACCTTACCCAAAAAATAGTTGTAATTTTATCTTATATATTTAAGGGAAATTACAATAATACTGATAACTCCGTAAAAATGTTATATTTAGGGCATTTTCACTTAAGTTATTGGCTGCCTCAAGGTGCATGTAGGTTCATTTAGATGCATATAACTGCATTTGGTGGTTTGACTTTGTCGAGGCATTTTAATTTATAAATGGTGCTATTTTACGAGGAAAGTTGTACTTTTGTTGTTGAGTGCAGGTTGATGAAGCAGAGGGTGAGCATGGAGAATTGACATAGCAT